AATTTCTTTAGCTGGTACATGAGACCCTAAAAGGTCTGGATCCTTCTTGTCCTCCCAGCCCCATTTCTTGCCACTTCTGCTCCTGTTTTAGGCTTCAGCAAAAACAAACTGATGTCATTTCTTATACACAAGCCACATGGTTTCTCATCTCTCTTTTCTCACCTACATATCTTTGTGTTGTTATCTGTGCCTTGAATCAGTGTCCTTCACCCCCTTCCCACCTGACCCTGCAGGGTTCAGCTCAGCCGAGCCTCATTCTTGACTTCCCTCCACCCATATTTGTGCTCCAACTGGGAATCCATGTTCAAATTAGCAAGACGCCTTCAAAGAAACAGCAAAACCTGTTTAAGTCTGCTTTGACTTTTCTGAGTATTTCAGTTTCCCAGGATCTTTCACAGAACGAGTTTTAAAAAGCAGGAGTAATGCATGGAAGTGATTACGACTTTAAAGTGTATCCTTTGTTCCAAAGGTCCTGTTAATCACCATTTAGGAGCAGCTTATTTGCAATGTACTCAATTATTTAGGTAACTAAGTAGGTTTCTACTGATCAGATAGAGCGTCATTTGCTTAATAGAAGCTAGCAAATGCTGTGGCACAGCTCCATTGGTAGTCTACATCAAGAAATAGGCTTATTTAAGATTGTGCTCCAGGGGAAAAAAANACAAAACTGAAATCAGAAAGATGTTCAATTAATCCAGGCAGAAATGGAAGGAGAGGGGGAGCAAAAAGTACATGGAACAAACAGAGACAACTAACGATATGGTAGATTTTAATCCAAACACATCCATAATACTAAAGACTAACACTACTATTAATACTAAATCGTCTGAAACCGCAATTAAAATCCAAACTCGTTAACTTTTCGTCTTAGTGAGCTGAAGCCCCTGTATTCTCGGAATCTGTTGATGGTCCCAGCGTCTGCCAGACACACCCTGAGCCGGGGACCTGTAACAGGTCGCAGCCTCCTCNTTTTTAAATTAAGGAATAGGTAAAACAAAGGAGAAAATCCAAGTAAGTTCAACATCCATTCATTCATCCAGTCCGTTCCTGCCAGGGAAACCTTCAGGACAGTCCTGCTTGATCCGTCACAACCCACAACTCCCAAGGCCCTGCTCAAGTTTGACCTTCTCAGGAAGAACTTCTCTTACAGCCCAGAACTGCCATCGGATTTTTCTTCTCCAAGCTTTTGACACTTCTGTTGTAGTGCCCATGTGCTGGCCAATGAGTCTTTTTGTTGCTTCTTGCACAGAAATAAAAAGGCAGAGACAGACAGACAGACATAGGATTGGGAGGACCACATACCCTTCTGTAATGAACCATGTCATGTGAATGGGGCAAGAAAGCTTCTGGAGAAGGTGACATATCAGCAAGACACTGAAAATACGTACGAATCCAACAGGCTGATAAAGGGAGAGAGGCCACTCTGAGCAGAAGGAATGCCCACCTGCAAGCACAGATGCATGATCAATATGGGTGGGGGTCAACACTAAAGTGACAAGCGGGGATTTGACAAGAAGGAGGTGTCTTGCTCCCTTTTGTGCAGCTGCAGCGGAATACCACAGCCTGGGTAATCTGTAAACAGAAGTTTATTGGTCAACAGTTTTGGGGCTGCGAAGTCTAAGGTCAAGGCAACAGCAAGTCAATGTCTGGTGAGGCCATTCCCTTCTTCTCAGATGACGCCCTGCGTGCTGCCCGGATCCTCACATGGCAGAAGGCAGAAGGGCAAGAGAGCAAGAGAGGAAACCCGCTTCAGTGAGCCCGTTTCACAGTGGCATTAATCTATCCACGAGAGCAGAGCCCTCCCGTTTGGCCCCACCTCCCTGCACTGTCACATTGTGGATTCAGTTTCCAACACTTGAATTCTGGGGGACACCTTCAAGCCATAGCAGTAAGCAAGGCCAGATTGTGGAAGGTTTTCATGCTAAGCCAGGGGTCTCAGACTTCATCTTGTGAATGTGAAAATCCAGAGACGGGAGCTTTACCTCTTGGGTTCTCTAAAGGAGAAAAAGCAACTTCCGGGGGGGCGTGGCCCTGTAAATGGGAGGGGCCAAAAGAGAAATAAGGGCGGGAGAAAGACAGGGAATCGTGTCTGTACATTAGTCCAGGAGGGAAAGAGAAGACACCATAAAAATTGTAAAAGAAAAGAAAAAAAACAGGAAGTGTAATGGCAAAGGCCACGGACACTGACAACGGAGACCATGGGTTAAAAGCCTGGCTTCATCTCTAACTTGCTCTGAAGTCTTAAGAAAATGTTCTAACTTCTCTTAGTTTACTCACCTGTAAAATGGAAAGTTTATCCGATAGTTTGTTGTGAGACTAAATAAGTTAATGCTTCTAAATACTCAGAATCTTGCCAAAGACATCATTGCCTAATAACGTTCCTTACGATCATGTTCAATGTTGTACAGAAGCCTGGATTAAAAGCAGTAGTTCTCCTCCGAACCATGAAGCCTAAATAAAGTTATGTAAGATGTCACCATTGGGGGATGCTGCGTGATACATACATGAAACCTCGCTGTACTGTTTTTGCAAATTCTTAAGTTATTTCAAAATAAAAAGTTGGTTGAGTTTTTTGTTTTGTTTTACTAAAAAATAAATAAATAAATAAAAAGCCTTTCCAAACCTCAGTGACAATCTATTTAGCACACATGTGTTGAGCACCCTCTGTCTGCCACACCCTCCTCAAGATGCTGGTCTCTCTTCTGTTCTGACACTAATAAACCTCATTTTTCAGTATTCACAAAAGTAATTAACCAAATGATAGTGCGGTTTTCCGTTTTTGTTGTTTCTCTTTAGCAGAAACACAGCAATAAAAATAAACCATCGGAAATGGAATTATGAGCACCCTCACTTCAGCACCAAACTTGGAGCTTCTTTGGTTCTTCAGCGGAGCCAGGCCACGGTCATTCTTCCAGATCCATCCAGTTTCCTCTGGGGAATTGAGCACTTGCATCAGCCTTCTCTACTATGACAGGGAAACCACTATGGGGTTACTCCAAATGCCAAGTATACCAGTCCCAACTTAACACTTAGGGATGGGGGAATGGACTAATGAGAAGGGCTGAAAACCTAGTGGATCAGCCCACTGTAGCCGAGATTCCATTTATTACCTGGCCCCACGAGAGTCCACTCAACCAGTGGAGCTATAACAGCACTCTAGGTGTCTGGGTTCCATGTCAACTCAGACCCTAAGCCTAACAGTCCTCAAAATGTCTGGGTATTCCCATTGCCCCAGTACACAGTCACTCAGACAGATAGATGTGCGTGCCTTTGGGAAGCACTAGGAAAATCAGTACAGAACATACTTGCCATCACGGTGCAGAACCTGGCTCCGTGGCCACCTCTCCTGCTGTCCACCTGGTCTGTAGATGGAAGCGCCACTGAGGTCCTTGGTGATGCTAGTGTCCCTCTCACCAGTGCATTCCTGGTGGTCTTGATGAGGTGTCTTCGGAGCCCTCCATGGTAATAATTCTCTGATGGGGGTTCTGGCTTCACATAATGTGTGCATTACAGCGTGCCCACTTCCTTCAGGCTTATTCTTTTTTCTACTATCTGCCAGGGCAACTCAGGCATTTCCATATTACCAAGAAAGAACCATCACTTTCTCCAGGCTTCTAAGAGATACTCTAACAATGAGTTTGTTTTGCCTCTGGAGTCCTCGACAGGGTGTTATATGCCATGTCTTGTGTTCCAGTCCTGTCCATCAATCAGATGAGAATCTTTGCAGCACTGTTTTGGGAAAGATTCCGGACCGCATCAGTTAGTAATGTCTCTCATGGAAGGGGAATAGGGAGTTTTTAGATGTATAGTATACTTTGCCGTTTCTGCTATAGACATATGTATAGTCTCTAACTACAGAATTAAGTGCAGATGAACTGCCCACAGGAGAACAAAGTCCCTGACCTTAGCTTCAGTTCCCCTGCAGTTTAACCAACTAACTTAATTAATTTGATAGA